CATTTGCTGCGTTTGGTTGGTTTCCAGTGGCAGCACTTTTTCTTCCCTTCTCTTCAGCTCTTTAACGTTTGTCGAGCCAGCAGCAACAACACCGCCGAAGAACAACAAGTTCTACTTTTCTATTTCTATTTCTCCCTCGAGGCCTAAAAGATGCTCGAACCAAACGAAAAACGAAATCTAGTTCTATCTAGCTCGAGTTCTCGAGCTCGACCACAGTCCTGGCAGCAGTCGACCGCCTCGCTGTGCTCTTCGGGTAGCCGAAAAAGTGGCGGAAGCAGTGCTCTTCACCATCGTCTTCAACGAAATGTGCACCTGAAGAAGGGCAGCAACAGCAACAGTCGTCTTCAGCTTTATCAGCAGCTTCAGCAGCACGCCAGCCACGATGTCCATTATCGTCACCACCAAAACCAAAACTCCTCAGCGCTGGCCACCTTTCAGGCGCGTCTCTGCCTGGGCACCGAGTACCTGCCCGTCTACGAGCTGAGCGGAGGTGATTATCAGCCACGGCCGGTGACCTCGACCACCACCACAACCTCTTCTTCAACTTCGACTTCGACTTCAAGTCTTCAGCAGCAGCCACAGCAGAAGCAGAAGAGCATCGTGAAGAAGAAGAAGAAAACAAAGCGCAAGTTGGACACTCTGGAGCGGATGGTGAAGCAGAAGCAGGCGACGAGGAAGAAGAAGAAGCGGACCATCAAGCGACTGACTTTTCTCCGGCTCACCAGCCGAGGCATCGTCTTCAGCGACGTGCCCTCCATCAAACTGGTCGACGATGAGGACATCGCCGCCATTGCACCACAGGACTCGGCTCGGCCCTTTTCGCCTTTTCGAAAACTGGTCACCACCACCTCACCAAAGCCCAGCACTCCTGTCCAGCGGACGCCCTCGGTGCAGCGGGCCACTATTGCCTGGGCCGACCTGGATCACATTTGGCTGCAGAAGCGGCGGATGGACTTGCATATAAAACCACAGGCGCAGCAGCAGAAGGAACAGCAGCAGCAGAAGCTCAAATCGCCTGAGAGCGCTGCACTTTCCGTTCTGCACTTGAAGTTTGCCGCCACCCGAGACGTGCACGCCTTCATCACCGCCGGCCTCGCCTACGGCTACTTCCGCAGCAAGGATCTGGTCTTTTCCGGCAAATCTGTTGTTGCTACTGCCGATGATGATGACGATGATGACGATGAAGAGCAGCCATGCACCTCTTCAACTCCTTCTTCTTCTGCTGCTGCTACTGCTGAGGATCATCTAGCAGCAGCCTCCACAAAGAAGCAGCGAAGCCTGCTCGCCACACTATGGAACCGGCTAAAGTCTTCCAATGGCAAAGCCAAGGACATTTCCATCTCTAGCAACAGCAGCAGAACTTCTTCAATAAGCAGCTCAGCTGACGGTGGCTTTCCCGATTCCACCACCACCGAGAAGGAGAAAGAAGTAGAAGGCGGCCAAAAAGGTGCCGGCAGAAACCTCCGCCGTCACCTTTCCACCTCGGCGGGCGCCTGCGTTCGCTGGGCAAGTCGCCATCTTCGTGCCGGTCGTCGTCAGGAGTATTCGCCGGCGCCGTCCTGAACACATCCTAAAACACAGCAACACACACCTTTCTTACTTAACTGCTCTTTCTCTTTCTTCGATTTCTCTTTAAAATAAGTATTATCTCTTCTTTCTACCACCACTACTTACCCCCTTTCGCGTCTCTTCGCCTCAAAACTTCCCCCAAAGCATTCTTAATGGATTAAATTGGATACCGCTTAGCTTCAGTTTCTCAGTTCAACTTTACTGCCCCCAACAACAACAACAACAGCAGCAAAAAGTGCAGTTAGTTAGCTTAGGAGAGAGGCTGAAATGTTGAGCATATAATCAGGCTAATTAATCGCGTCACGCAAACAAATTGTGCTCCAAGAGGATGCACAACGAAATCAACAACTCTCCAAAAGGACCACCACCACTACTACGCTAATTAGAAATGTGCATTTTAAATCGGCTTTTTCTTTGTTTTCTTGTTTACTTTTTCATTCCACAGCTTATCACTCATCATCAATCTTGAAGTACATTTGTAAAATTGAAATGTAATACCAGAAGACGACGACGATAATCCGCCATTAATTCACCGCTACCACAACAGGCAACCTTGAAGGAAAAGTTGGATTTGCACTCTTTCTGTAGGACAGAATATGCACTGAAGCCTTTTGGAACAAACCTCTGAAAATAAAATGTTTATTCGCCTGTGCAAACAAAAGAACAACAAAATGAATGTGCAAATTATTTTAGCGAAAGCTAAAAACGGACGGACAATGTACGTCAGACAGACTCCTGAAGTTATGCACAAATTTTTTGTGCATTTCCTCAGGCGATGCTGAACGAGTGCTGGACGGCAACAGTAGCAACAGAAACAACAAAAGAAGAAAAAGAAGAAATGAACATTAGCTAAAATTGAAAGCAATAAATTACCTTTATGAGCTAACAACGTCGTTGCTTCCCTTCCCTGATGAAGTGAAGTAGTTTTCAAGATCGAAAAGCGATACTTGTGTCGAACTTCACTTCACTTGGCTCAGAAAACCATTAGCCACGTCTTCGTCCTTCGAGAGGACACTTCTCGTAAAGAAGAAAGAACTTTGTTTTCAAGTAATCAAAATTGGCCAAAATGGAAAGAAGTTTTGAAGGAGGTGGTGGTGGAGGTGCCTTTGAAGACGGTGAAATCTCCATCGCCTGGCGAAACTTGGACTACTCGGTGGGTGAGCTGTCCTCTTGGAAGTACCAACGAAAGCCGATTCTAAGAGGGTTGACGGGAGCATTTCGAACCGGCTCGCTGAACGGACTTCTTGGACCGTCTGGTGCTGGGTAAGTCTCCACTGTTTTCTATTTCTATTTTCACTAACTTCTTTTCCATTCTGACTCTTTAGAAAGACGACCCTGCTCAACTGCCTGAGCGGTTGTCTCACTTCGGGCGCCCTTTCCGGTGAGATCTTTCTTAATTCGGACCGGAGCTCGGCAGCCTTCTACTACATTGCCCAGCACGTCCACGAGAACATCTTCAGCGAGCTGACAGTGGGCCAGCTGCTGCGCTATGCGTTTGCTTTTAAAAATGGCCGTCGGGTGAAGAACTCGGTTCGCGAGGAGCACATCTCCAAAACGCTGGAAGTGTTAGCCCTAGGAGGCAGTGAAGAGGAACCGACTTCTAAATCTGCAGACTCTTCGAAGACCAAGAAGAAGAAGGACAGCATCCTCAAACGACCCTTTGTCCTCTGCAGTGGTGGCGAACAGAAGCGCATTTCCATCGCCCAAGAGTTGATGTCCCTTGATGGACGATTTAATCTCTTTTTGGATGAGGTAAGAAGTTTTGAGCTTTGTTTTGAGGTTCGATTTCTATTTCTACCCTACCCATTAGCCGACCACTGGCCTGGACAGCGCCACCGCCTACGGCCTGGTGGCCTGCCTCCGTCGCCTGGCGGCCACCAACGGCAACACCATCATCGCCTCCATTCACACGCCCAACGAGGAAACCCTCCAGCTCTTTGACCAGCTGTACATCATGGCCCGTGGGGGCGTGGCCATCTTTTCGGGGTCACCAGCAAGCCTATCCACCCGCCTTAAAGAACTTGAGGATTCGGATTTCGAAAACTCTGACGAGGATTCTGACCTTGAGATGGAAACGGTTTTCACCTCGCCCGAAGCGCCGCCCATCGAAGCGATGCTCAAGGTCGCCTGTCGGGGCTTTGAGCACGAGGATGTCCTCCAGCTGGCCGGCCCGGTCAAGGTTCAGTCGAACTTGGCCATCTCCAAGCAGATAACATCTCTCACCCGTCAACCTCAGGGTGGCATTCAACAGTCGTACAAGCTCTTCAATCCCTGCGACCTGCTCACCGAGACGCTGCGCCTCTTCCGCCTGACCTTCTTCAACGCCCGCAGCTCCCTCCTCTCCACCTTCCTCCTCTTTGTCTTCTTCTTCGTCATGCTCACCAGCATCTTTGACCACCACAAGGCGACGGCAAAAGGCTGCTTCAGCGTCGTGCCGGTCTTTTCCCCAAATGAAAGTACGGCCAACTCTTCAGGTGGCCAGCCTGTCTGCCAGAACATTGAGCAGTCGCTGCTGACGAATGAACTCCTTAGCGAGAACCTGCACTTTCTTTCCTACACCGTCTACCTCATCGGCATGATCTCCCTGGTGGCCAATGTGAGCCTCTTTGGGAAGTACCTCAAAGTCCTGCTCTCCGAGCATCACAATCGTAAGTTGAACTGGTTTGGGTTCGATTTCTATTTCCACCCAACTGGTTTAGTGTTGACTTCTAAATCGGTTTTCCTGATTCCACTTTCAACTTTTCTCATTTCTAATTTTATCTTCATCTTCCCTAACCAAGGATGGTACTCCCTAGGAGTCTTCTACAGCTCCACCACAGTGATCACCTTCCTCGAGCTCAACCTGACCGCCTTCTACCTGACGCTGCTCACATACTTTCTCTCGAACCAGCACGTGGTGGACGACCACGCCATCAACTGGCACCGCCTCACCACTTACACCGCCTTCATCTGGCTGCAGTGCCTCTTCTACCAGACACTAGGTCAATTACTGGGCATCCTCCTCGTCAATCACCTCGCCATAGCGACCACCCTCTCCCAGGTCCTCTTCTGCGCCACCGCCCTCTTCAACGGCGTCTACGTGAAGCTGCATCGAGCGCCCTGGCCACTGCTATCTGCCCTCGGCGAGCACCTCGGCATCGTCGCCATGACCCGAGGGTTGTTCTACTCAATCTACGGCATAGACCGCTGTGACCCGCAGACGGAGGCTTCGGTGGTCCTGGTCGACAACCAGATTGACCCCGAGCGGGTGTGGGCGTACTTTCAGCAGGTGCTGCTCAACGTGGTGGCCATTCGCCTGCTCACCTTCGTCATCATGTTCTTTCGCTTCAGCCGCTTTCCCGCCTTTTGCTGCTTTCTCTGTCGAAAAAGAAGCTCACCAGCTGTTGACGATAAAGAAACAGCAGTGGTGGTGGCAATACCAATGGAAATAACCCCTTACACGCCAAAGAAGAAGCGGGCTGCCCACAATCGCAACCGCCGCTCCACCTTTGACGACATCATCCTCCGAGGGAATCGAAACATCAGCGCCGGACGGAATAAACGGCGAGCCAGTGAGCACGCCGCTCGCCTTGAGCTGAAGCGGCGGTCGTCGATCTTCCTTGCAGACAAGCCGCTCATAGGCTTTCGCAACCTCAGCCTCTACCGCTGCAACTCGCGCATCACCGGCGAGACGCCCACTGACGCCCCGGGCAAGGCCATCCTTCGGCAGCTGTCCGGTGGCTTTGCCTTTGCTTCCCTGAACGCCATTCTCGGCGCCTCGGGAGCCGGTAAGTCTTTCTTTTTTGCATATTAAACTTTTATCACATATCTCCTTTAGGAAAATCCTCTCTGCTCAAAGTTCTTAATGGCCGCTCCAAAACCCGCCTCACCGCCGACTCCGAGCTGTACATGAGTCGCTACACTCCGATCACCACCTGCTTCATCTCCCAGC